AAAGTTCATTCTTCACACAGCTTGAATCTCCCACACGCCCATACTAAGGCAAGGGCTTCTTTTTCTGTCTGGGAATATCTCCTCTCGATATCAGTGAGATTTCTTGATGTATAGGGAATTACTCTCCACAGGCCGTCTTGCAGCTGAGTGAGGACAGCTCCTGTGCCTGTGGGACCAGCATCGGCAACAATGCGTGTCCTGCATTCGTTCTTGAAGTAAGCAAGTGTTTCTGCTCGGGTTAGCAGATCTTTCAGTTTCTGGAAAGATCTCTGTTGAGCATCTTTCCACTTGAACTGTTGGTCTTTTCTCGTCAGCATTCTGAGCGGTTCGGCAACTTGGGAAAAATCTGGCAAGAACTTGGCAACTGCAGACACCTTCTCTTCACTAGGAGCGATTCCTTTACTGCTCAAGTCATGTCCAGAGAATGTTAATTTTGGAAGTCTGAACTGACACTTCTCATTTAGAGTCAATCCACGTTATCTGAGACGGTGCAGAACAGCTAGCAGATTCTCATCATGCCCCTTGATTCCACATCCATGGATGATCAGGTAGTCAGCAATATTTGCAACTCCTTTACAGCCAATTAACACATCTTTGACAATTTTCTGATATTTCTCAGGAGTTGAGGTAATTCCAAACATTAACCTCTTGTATTGACTAAGACCTCGCTGTGTAATGAAGGTTGTAATACGACGCGATTCAGTTTCAAGTTCCACCTGGTGGAAGCCCCACTTCAAGTCTACTGAACGCTGTTGACCCATTTACGTCATGTAGAACCTCTTCAATAGTGGGAATAGGGTGCCTTTCTCTTTCGATTGCCTCGTTGGCTCTTCTCATATCCACACAGGCCCGTTTGTCTCCGTATGATTACAGATAGAATTGGACTCTTCTTGGTCCTATTATCATTATACATTATGCTCAACCTCGTCCAACAATAACAACAACCTTATCCAATAACTAGTTAGTAATAGATGGATTGTACATACACATGACCCATTCTGTTGGACCACAATGATGATGATGATGTCTTCTTTCAGCAATTCATCTGGTTTCTTGTCGACTTTGTCTCTTAAACCAAAGGGCAACCCTCTGACAGGCTGTGCAACAGGCTTAACATCTTTGTTCACATGCAACTTAAGCTGACAATTTTTCAATTTACCGACTCCAGAAAAAACATCAGCAAAGTTCTTAACAATGTCCACAGAAATTCCTTCACTTGTGATTGAGTATGCTTGTGGTAAGTTTGGGGGTCTAACTCTCAACACATTCAGCTTCTCAGCTGTATCCTTTCCCAGCAGAGCTTTACCACGACCTTCAACAACAGTAAATTCATGAATTTCACACTCAAGGTTCCAACAACCTCGATTGGTTTGGTTTGGCCATAAGCAAACAGCTTCTTTTCACACTTTCCGGATTAGCACTTCACTCCTTTCTGTTTAAGACTCTCCCACGTAGCACGATCCACAACGTTACATGTTGCCCCCAAGTCAGTAAGGACATTCTTTAACTGCACACCTCCAACAGACAAACCAACAACACCACTCGAGCAATTACTACTCTTCGTATTCAACACAAAAGCGTAGTTATCTTCTTCTTTCTCTTCTGAGGCTTTATTAGCTCCTTCTGAACGGTCTCTTCCAGAAGGTTTCTTGATTGACTTTGTCTTGCAACAAGCCGCAAAGTGACCACTTTTACCACATTTATTACAAGTCTTGTCTAATGCTGGACAGCTCTTGTCCAGTGGAAGATGACCAGTTCCACCACACCGGTAGCATTTCCTTTCTTTTGCAGGTTTCTTTCCTTTTGTTCCCTTTTTGTTTGCTTGTCGATCATTCGAAGACGGTTTGTTCACCTGCTCAGGTCTTTCCATAGACTGCATTTGAGTGTTAACAGCTTCATGGACTCTTGCAGTTTCTCGCAGCACAGTCAAGGTTGCTTCACTTGATTTCTCGAGAAATTTTCGACGAAGTTTTGGATCTCTGCATTTTTCGATGATCTGATCACGGATGGCTTCATCCACGCTTGGAAACTCACAGGATATAGCCTTCTGGCGCAGACGGCACACAAATTGATCGATAGTTCCCCTTCCATCTGTTGCATTTGGCGGAAAACATGTCGCTAAAATGGAACATTAACTTTCGGTGTAAAATAGTTATCCAGGACTGCAACGCAATCGTTAAATGAAGTATCTTGATCTTCAGACACCCGAGTGTAATAAATTTCTTGTAACTCAGTATCTCCTGAATGTAATAGCAACGCTACTTTCTGCCCTTCATTGGTTACTCCTTTCGAGGTCACATACAGGTTAAAAGCACGTTTCCATCGAACAGAAAACGAGTTCGGCTCTCCCTTGGGGTCAAAGCAAGGAAGGTCACGGACCTCCAGGATCTGTTTTGCACTCGCCCCACCTGAGTTAGTGGACGATGGTGCGCTCGGGTTGCTTTCTTGTTCAACGGGTGTTACAGTCGCGGGCATGATTTCCTTCTCGATAAAAATTATATCACGAATATAAATTTTGAACACTTGGAAAATCATCCTCGTCGCCAAATGTAATGATGGCCTGTCTATAGTAAGAACACTGTATTTCAAATGAACAGATATGCTAAGAACTCTTGATCATTTCAGTGATGTTAACTCTTAATTTTTTTCAAATTTTTTTTTAATTGTAATTCACGTATTGTGAAAAGCAAAAAAGTTCACAGTTCATGGGGTTTTACTTTCGTATTTTTACAGGTCGCAAAAATTAAAAACACTCATTCCCGCATCATGAATAAAAGCCTTTTCATCCCCTCTACAATGAAGATGATTGATTAATAATATAACAATGACCTCAACCACGAGGATATTTTTGGCTTGATTAGTTATTGATCTATTCATTCTGGGGAGAAATATAAGTTGTGTGCATGTCATGTATAAGTGAGAAGACCAGTCACTTGAGAAACTGAAGAGGACTATATATGAAATTTGAAGTGTTATATAGAAATAGGATGGCAATTAAATTATGTCGGTTAAGAAGATTTTCCAAGAGTTGCAAAATTTACTGTGGTGTTCTTTCCTGTTGTTAGTTTATTTTACTTGATAAAAACTGAAAGAGGGTCAATTTTTAAAATAGTACTAAATTATTACTACCATAATCTAGCTCTCAGATACATGCAGTATATGGGCCTATTGCTTTTTTGTTTGTTTTTTTTTTTTTTGCTTTTTCATTTAATTCTCTATCGAATAATTGTGGTTTTTTTTAACCATTTATTGGACTGGAAGAAAGGGATTGTTTTTTCTTGAATATGTTAAGGCTGTAAACTTTGAAGAATATTTATGGAGGTATATAATTGAAGTCACTAAAAATCCTTTTAGTGCACTACTTTGATACACCTAATATTACATGTACCTCCATTAAACTATAATCGTTATTATAAAGATGATGCTAGTACTTGCTCTAAAATCAGGCAGAAAAATTACTTTGTCCTGATTTTGATAACAAAAGAATTTGTGGATCTGGAGAATTGGTATATTACATGTGTTAATTGCATACTGTGCCAATTAACATGCCCTTCAGTATATACTTTAGTTTTCAACTGAGATTAAATGTTCAATTTATTTTATATATATATTAAGAGAGGGAAAACAACAAAGAGACTATAATTTCATCCCATTACAAGCCTGTTTCATGATTACTCACTCATCTGGGGATTCTATTGTCAAGAATATTCGCAACCATCATTTATATACTTTACTAATTTGCATAATAGGCGTGGCGGTAAATGTAAATGCTTTGTTCATCAGTTGTTACGCAGTAATGCTTTGTTTCTGTGGCGGCATGAAGACACGAGTTCATTATTTTTATTGAGTGATGATAATTCATGTTGGCAAACGATAAGTAATTTCTCTTTGAGGTAGAGGTTGCATCTTCTGCTAGCACCATTGTGGGGTGATGTTGAAGAAAGGATGCACCATGAAATAAATTGGACAATGTTAATTTCTTTAGGGGTCCAGATATATCGCGCTCTTCTTTTACATATCGACACTGTACTAAGGGAAAATAACTTACTATATATATATAATGCATTTTAGTTGATAAAGCCCCCCCCCCCCCCCACCAAAGTAGCACTACAATTTCTTCAGAAACTTGCCCCTTATTCATTGCTTTTAATTTGTTGATTTTAGAAAGAAATTAAACCACCATTCAGCTTCCCTCCTGGATGTTTTTTAGTCTTGGTGGCCAGTTCTTTCTGTAAAGGAAATTTTTGTAGAGTAAGGAATTATTATGATTTACCCAAAAACAAATCAAAGTAATGAACTTGATAATTAGTATTAATCCTACATAACTCTTATGTGTAGTAAACAAGATGGATTGATTCAAGACCACAAACACATGCACTTATCATGAGATTTTTATAAATATTGAAAATTAGTTTAAGTCTTCACAAACTTTTCAGGTAATTTGACATAAACATTAATTGTTTCACATTTTATGATAAAGTAGAATGTAGTTCACTGGTTCTCTCTTCTCGGGTGATGGAGGATCAGAAGTGGAGCTTAATTGTAGTCAGTGATAGCATCCAAAACATTTCGAAAACAGCAAACAATTTAATGAATGATTTAAATGATTAAGTATTCCAAGCACACCAGATCAATGGTTGATAGCCTGCCCTGCATTCAAACACAAAGTCCCTCAAGTTAGGCTACAACCATTGTCCTTTGTACTTTTATACCACTAAAAGTCTCTACCTTTTGGTTCTGCAATTTGTGCAAATGGAAAAAATCAGTGAAAAAAAATTGATTTAAGAGTGCTGCGTAGAAGTTTAGTTCTAAGGTGCCCAAAAAAAGGATGCTAAATTAATTTTTTTCACTGATTCTTTTTATAATTCACGAGAGGTTGCTCCGTGATTCAGGCAAAAACCTCATCACCTTAGTTGCTCCCCCCCCCCCCCCCGTTGCCTAAAAAGTTTGACCACGAAAAATCTCACATTGTAGGGATAAATTGATCTTCACAAGGGCACATGGCATCAGCTGCTACACCAGCGTTTCCTTCTACCAAGGAGACAACCAACTATGCTCGACTCTGTCGCCTTCTGGTGGATGTTGGATCCAAAGCCTTGAGAAACACTTTTGATGCCATTCACCCTCCTGCAGGACTTCACACAGTTTTGGGGCGTCACCCAGTGCATGCAAAACTAAAGTCTCTAAAGTACAAGAGGGTCTTGAATGCTACGCAATGGGGGAAGCTGTATCCAACTATTCCATCATCTGTTTCATCAGCAGAGTTCGATATCACAGTACTGATGGTGTTACTGAGGAACATCTGTAAATTGGCCCCTCCCAGCACCGGATGGGACAGTCTTCCCCCTCCTGCAGACGCGAGTAAGCAGGCCAACATCGCCAGGCTGAAATACTACCGTAATACTGTGTATGGCCATGCTAGCCAAGCCTCTGTGGACGATTTTGCATTCAACAACTACTGGCAGGAGATTAGCAATGCCATAGTAGGACTGGTAGGAGCAGGTTATGGAGCCGCTATCAGTAAGCTTAAGAATGGGTGCATGGACCCTGACACTGAAGAACACTACAGGCAGCTGCTGAAGCAGTGGAAGGAAGATGAAGACAATATTAAAGAAAAGCTCCAAGATATTGAAGGTAAATATAATTCTGAAGAATGCAACCTTAATCAAGCAAAAGGTGTCAGGAGGAATGGCAAATTCAGCCCGGACATTTAAGCTTTGATTTCTGTAGTTATGCATCAGTTACAACTTTTTAATGTTACCCACTGGTCATCTACAGTCGCCATAATTCATACTGGTCAAGAATATTCGAGAAAATCTTCATCTAATCAGAAGCAAAAATAAAACCAATCACGATACAATGGTAAACAGACAGGTGCTGAAGATTAAGAAAACAAATCCGATTCGGGATATACCGCTTGATTAAATCAAAGATTCTCAAAAACAGCTCAAGATAAAGAAAAATATATTTTTCTTCTTGTTACGAGCATGGGACATGAAAAATCGAACCTCAGACCTTTGGATTCCGCGTACCAATGCTCTACCACTGAGCCACAGAGACTCTATGGTGAGCTAAGCCCATTACGCAGTTCATATATGACACGCGTCCTGCATGCTGCTAGGATCAGCAATGTCGATAGCGACATGTTTTTATAAAGAATAAGAAAGATGGTAAATTTTAAGCTTGGTAAAAGATATAGAGAAAGATGTTTTTCGTTTTGTCCCGGGCGTGTGAAAAAGAAAAAAAAGCAAAATAAAAGAGATAGAGAGAGAAAACTGTAGGATGCACATCAAACATCAAAAAAGACCTTAATCAGCTGAAATGTGAGGTAGGAAATATTGTGGAAAAATTGGATACGATGATGGCTCGACAACAGGAAACTAAGGATCGAGGTAAGTTTTTGATGAAACTCCATCCCTCTCGCTTAATCTCTGATCGAAAATAGAATATCTTTTGGCATGAGGTTTATCAATCTTTAGCACAAATCTTTGTTAGTTTTTAACGCTTGTTTGAGTGTTATTTGTATCTGAGAAGAAATTTCATCGTTTCAATGAGGATTTAGACTCAATTTCTAAGGGAAAGCCCTAACCCATAAAACTCTGAAATACGCTTTTACCCTCAGGTAAACTGACGAATGACTTTGAGTGGATGAGAACTGAAGTTGGAAACCTACGTGATAAACTGGACACTTTAATGGTGCGACAACATGAAGCACAAGATCAGGGTGAGTTCTAGATGCTATTTCTTAGGTCACTTTTCAATTAACAGTAATCTTTTAAAATCGAGTGCAGTATGAGAGATGTTTCAAAACTTTCTAACCCGTCAACAGTCATAGCGTAGTAAGGTGCATATTGCTGCATGCACTGTGATCATTTTAATGGTAGATGAAAATGTAGCAAACGACCCCCCCCGACCCCCCGACCCCCCAACCCCCCCCCCCAAAAAAAAGAAATTAGTAATAAATAACGATACTAATACTCCCAGATAGATTAAGAACAAATTAATGAAGGTTTTTTGGTTTTCCAATGTTGGTTGTTTCATAAAAGAATTTCGGCTATTTCTATTAAAGTAGAATAAAGAAAAACCTGGACTTCTTTCAGACGAATATGTGTTTTTAACTTTAGAAAAAGTGAGAAATGACATTGATCAGATGAGAAGTGAAGTTGGAAACATACATGACAAGTTGGAGAGTTTCATGATGGCCCGACAAGAGGAAACGCAACTTCAAGGTCAGTCCCTATGGCAGCTATGAATTTAAGGGCGATTCATCTATTGAAATGCTAAGCTTTGGGAGAGTTATTTCTAAGTGAGTGTTCATAAGAAGAAGAACGTTGCATTTTTTGAGTGAACAACATTAAAACAGATTAAACCTATATAACCTCGTGGAAAGAAGAAAAGCGCTCGTTGTTACCGTAGGGATTAAGAGTGCCGATTTGGAGGATAAATTTTTCTTCTAGTGTTTTGCGGCTTTCTGAACCGCCTAGATGAAGGGAAAGGCCGCAAACTGCCATATGTTGTTTAGAACGATAAGGGAGACTAAAGTGTCTCATTGTTTGTGTAAAACCGCGGTTTGGGTTAGACCTCGTTTAAAGGAGCGGCCCCAAAGTCTGTAAACCAACGAGGCTCAAACTGCACATAATAAACTAGCCAAATGTACTAACAAAACTTGGCATGTGATCGCACGGAAATCACGAACAATACAATAAAAAGGTGCTGTTTGTTTCCAAAACAGATTATAAAGAATAAAAATTTGAATGAAAAGTCTAAAGATAAGCGATGAATAATGCTTAATTTTTACTGAAAGTAGACCTGTGTCTTGAGGGTGCGAAAAGATGCTCTTTAGAAGGATTTGCAATAAGACCTCTCATCGCCGTTTGTGCAACTGGCGGGGCTATCATGTTTAGGTTTTGCCCTACAGTCCTCTTTCGGGCACAGCCTCCTATAAAACCATCGTCATCCACGTGTGGAAATAGTTACTGAAACCTCTGCCAAAGCCATTTGACATGTTGCACAACAGAGATGGGAATTATTCTTACTGTTTAGCAATGACGTTAAGTTATTTTTGAAAAGTTTATTTTTTTTCATAAACGATGTATTTTAAATGGAGTGGCCATCAGTTAACGCTTCTGCTCCGCTAATAATATTGAAATGTTCATCCTCAGGGGACATCAAAAATTACCTTGATCAAATCAAAATTGATTTTCGAAACGTGAGTCACAGGTTGGACGATTTGGAGGCAAAACAAAGAGCAACTGAGCAGCAAGGTGCGTACTGCGCTAACTAACTGACAATTGGAATACTGGCTCCAGTTAGTTTTTGAGGGCGAGGCTTGAATCAGCTATCACACATGAAACTGAGAGCGAAAAATCCAAAAGTTTAATTTAATCTAAAAGTCATGCAAGACTTGGAAAAAAGGCAGGCTCGTGTTTTTATTGAATATTAATACAAATGGGCCATCCCTTGTGCTGTTTACATTTCTTTCTATCTGTCACGGAATAAATAGTGAGTAGCCTAGCCAATCAGATTGCAGCATTTGCGATCGAACGTATATTTACACTAAACCCTAATAATATCAGCGCATGGGGAGAATAGCAAAAAATTAGTTTGAAATACTGGGGTAGGAATCAGTTATAGCAATTGTTATTTCATCACAAATTGAATCAGATTCCTCCATGGGAAAGAAGAACCCTTCATAATTTGCCTCACATGCAACGTGTGGCTTCGTAGTTCAGTTATAAGCAGCACGGTATCTCAGAGGAGCTTTGGCCCCGAAAAGAATTCGTAGCACGCATTCTACAGAGGCGCGATCATTTCTGTCATCAGTGCAGAGAATTACTTTAACGCTTGCAGTCAGTAGGTGTCTATGCGGTTATTTAAACCTGTTGATTAATTTTAACTTAGGGCCAGTTTACATGGAGGTGGGGGACCCCAGGTAGGTGAGGTAACCCGCCAAGGTGGGGTAACCCGTCTTTCCATATAATCTCTCATTTTATCTTGATCACGTTTACATGATAGGTGAGGTAACTCGCCAAGGCGGGTTGCCCGGTCTGCCAGGTGGGGTAACCTTGTCAGCCGGGGTGACAATTTGCTATGTAAACGTTTCAAGGTGGGGTAGCCCGCCTAGCCGGGGTCGCGTTCATGGCAAAAAGCTCAAAAGCTAAACACGTATGTTTTAAAACTTTGTACATTTCTTAACCGTCTCAAGGTAGAAATCACCAGAAACCGCAACGGACACACAAGGAGTGTAAAATGTTCACATTTTGGGATATTTAGCGTTGAAAATCGACCATATTTCATTTCCCAAACTTTTCCCAATTACGTATTCAGTCTACGATTCCTCGCGTAACCTAATACCGCGTAACACAACGCGTGACGCTTTCATGAATAAATACAAATGTGTCCAAGAATGAATCTTTCGTCTTTCTCGAGATGTGAGCTTGGGACGCCTATGCTGAAACTCCCTAATTGCAAGCGCAACAAAAACCTCAAGAAACCTCACCCCAGCACCCCGAGGTTGTAAGATTGCATGTAAACGCGTTTTATTTTCGACCACTGCTAGGCGGGTTACCTCAACTACCTGGGGTCCCCCACCTCCATGTTAACAGGCCTCTAAAGGTTCACCTGATAACTAATACTTCATCTAATTTTAAAAGCGCGAATTTCAATTACGAACCACAATAAATCTTGGACCGGAATCACTTGGCGCGATCTCATCATGGAGGCCAAAGTCCGGCTTCCATCGATCGGCTGAGCTTTCAAGAGTTACGGCATACAATCTCGACCATATGTGCTAACAAAAAGTTGATGTGGAATCAAGCCCAAAGCTTTTGCAAAGAACGAAATCTTTCGTCGATTCCCCGATGACTGCAATACGTTCTATCCAGCAATCAGTTCCCAACCGCGCCAACAAAGGCTGTTCGTTAAATACCACGTCACCAAACATGTTGTATGCTCATTTGGTCTCTGTGCCAGACTAATTAGACAGCGAAAATTTCCTGCAGATGCATTCGTGAGGTGTCAAAATGTAATGTTGGAAACTGCGCGATATGTCAATTATTCTTAATTTGATTGACATTTATAAATGATTTCGTTTTACAAACAACATGTATACGGCACGTATTTTATCGCCCCTTATATGGCATTGTTCCACTTGCTTACAGCGGGACGTTCAGTGCGTGTTTTTTCGAATAAGTCTAGAGTTGTGGGTGGGAGTTAACCAAAGCATTGAAATAGAATCGTTAAATCAAGTGAATTAACCGTGACTTAATTAGGAAGCGTGGTACAGCCTTTTCACGTTTTCGACAATAAACCTGTTAAATCAAATCGCTCTCGACCGTGCACTTTAGGCGGGAAATGCCTCTGGTCGAATAATCATGGGGAATTGCAGAGATGTCCGTCAAGAATAGCCGAGCTTGACAAAGACATTCGGGAACCAGTAAAGGATAATGATTATATAAGTTAACGGTAGATGCCTCAACTTTCAGTCAAAAGAAAGAGTTCAGGCAAAGAACGGTCTCCTGATATTAACTAGTGTGAATTCAATTTTTTCGTTTCCTACCTGAGGGTTAATTTTTAATATCTCCTATACCCTAAGGGTATAAGGGTTACTTTTAATCTCTTATATACCCTCTTGGGTAGTGTATACCTGAGGGTTACTTTTAATCTCTTCTATACCCTCTTGGGTAGTGTATACCTGAGGGTTACTTTTATGCTCTTCTTTACCCTCCTTGCACGGCAGTCACGATATTCATATTCGTAGATGTGGATTTGCTCACAACAAACTAAAATGCACTAACGTTGTTTTAGAGAAACGTGAAGCCTAGCTTCTCCCCTTCTTTTACGTGTTTTAAATTGTTCCTGTTATATGTTGCTCCAACATTTGGCCAGGACTATTTGTGGACCTTGTGTTAACGATTTACCGTTGTCTTCTTCAAGACATGCATTGTTTCTACAAAGAAAATAAGCTTAGCGTACCGCCCCTTAGGTTATTTCGAATTAGATCCGTTAAGTTTTCTCGAGGAATTTCCCAGAGCTCTTGTTTCTAGACAATGTGCGAACAAAGTAGTGTTGCATCTGGAAAATGATTAGAAATGTAATTATGGGAAGTTGCAGTTTTTTTTTCATTTCATTCGGAAGCACGGGTTCGAATTTCATCGAAGCCCGAACCTTCACAGATTTATTCCTGTAACTTTTGCATTGTTTCTACTGGAAAATGATTAGAAATTATCGCTTAGATGTGGGTATCATGGTTGTATTTATGACAGAATGGTATCAAATAACAGTCACTGGCATTTTAGAGGATCTAAGCCTCAAACGTTTCGATTTCGTGAGTGGATATACTTTCATTTTACCAACTGAGCCAAAGAGGCAAGTTAGAGAATCATCTCATCTGCCAGGCTGATTTTTTGACCAACATCTTGCATATAGTTAACATGACGCAGGGAGAGGAAGCGGGCTGATAAATTTTTAGGCTTTTTCGTAGAGACTATGTAAAGATCACTCACATGGATCCCTTTCGCCCTCAATAACTTCCTTATCAATTTTAAAATCAGAAATTATCATAGGACTGTTGATAATTATTCATCTCTGCTTGGATCACTCAAAGTGTTAATTCCGACTTACAACGGAGTCACAATTGCTGTTTCAACAATTGTTCGATGCTTAATCCAGATAAGACGAAACTAATAGCTTTTGGCAGCCGAAGAATGTCTTCCAAATTACTGGACTTTAAATTATCCCCACTAGGAAAAGACATTAACCCGGCTCAATCAGTCAAAGACCTTGGAGTAATTTCTGATCCCACGCTATCTTTTGATAATCATATTTCTACTGTAGTATCGTCTTGTATGTCGAAATTATCTAAGATAAGCCGTATTACGTTTTCGATAAACAACTGCTTGAAACCATGATAAACGCTTATGTTTTCAGTAAACGATATTACTGTTAATCAGTATGGTCATCCACCTCAGCCTGTAATATTCGTAAATTGCTATACGTTCAAAACTTTGCCGCGCGAACTATCTGCAACGTAAAGAAGTATGACCATATCTCTCCTGTATTAAGAAACTTACGTTGGCTCCCTGTAAAAACACAACTGTATTGCCGAGATGCTACTTTAACATTTAAATGTATGACGGATCAAGCCCCGGAATACTTAACATCTATGTATATAACAAGAGGCAGCGTATCTGGACGTATAAACAGAAACTTTCAACGACTAAACATTCCACTTTGTAAAACTGCAACAGGACAGAAAACATTTTGTTATAAAAGTGTATCTATCTGGAACAAGTTAGATCCAAGCCTTAAATTATGTAAGAGCTCCGCTTCCTTTAAGAGAGCTCTAAAAAAATCCCCTTTTGAATGAATTTTTAAACTGACCATATTTTATTTAAAAACATATAATTCGTATTATATTGTATATATTTTAATTTGTAATCCAATTTCTTTACTGAAAAGCGGCAGATGGGGATGTGTTCAATACGTGTATGTAAATGTATCTCTACTTTTTCCCGTCTAAAGAAGGCAGCGATGACGTAATTCTTTGGTCATACAGGTTTGAATAGCTTAAACTCTCTAAACTCAAATGTGAAAGAACAGAAACCAATTCTTTTAAAAAAAGTTCCTTATTAACACATTGACCGAACGCTTATCAATATGATATCCAATACGTTTTGTTCGCGTTTTGTTTAAAAAATCAATTTGTGTGTTCTTAATGCTCTACCCTACTATCGTTTCTTTTTAAAATTGTTAAAATCTAAGATTTATGCATAATTCTGCTGTCACCTTAGCAAAATCACCAAAAGTTTGTAGTCAGTTAGGCGAAGAAAATTAATAAGTGAAAGGTGTTTTTACATTTCTATAATTTCGAACATCTTATTAGAAGAAATCCACCAGTTTTCTATGGTCTGGCCTGGACTTGAGAAATATCACCCAAGAAAGAAAGAGTACTTTTGACCAATTTAAAAAACCGGCTAACGGGTGTTTTAAAATAAATTATGGCTAACCTCTGAGTGAACACATATCAAAATTGAAACGACCTCTAAACCCCTTATATATCACAAAATTGAGGAACACAAACGATTTCTTGCTGCATGTGGTGCGTTACGAGGAGCGAGCTTGTCAACTTTTAAAATTTTTGACGTCGCAAAACGTCAAAAAAGGGCTTTTTGCAGCTTTGACTATTGAGAGCTCAAAGGATTTTTTAACGTATTTCCAGAATTCAACGTGGTTTTATTTACCTACTACCAAAGATAATTTAATGAGCAGAGTTTGAGGCAAAACTTTTCTCTGATGCGAAAGGCCTTGGACCACTCTTACAGAGATCGCCACTTAATTGATATGCAGTACCGTAAGAAATTGACTTCATAACCTATTAAATGCAGCGGATATTGATCATGTCGAGTTCAGAGTCTGCCTAGTTTCCAAGCCCCTCGACCGTGTAGTGTTTGCAAAATTTTGCACCCTCAGAGAGAAATGTTTTATTTTGCAGTTGTTTTCAAAATGAAAAAAATATCTGTTTGATTCCGGTTTTTTTTTCATGTTATTATGAATTAACAAACTTCGTGTCAATAATATCTGCTTCAGCCTTCGGCTTCGTCTGATAACTCAGACCTAAGTGGTGATATTTCACGATATCATTCTCAGTGTCATCGTATAATTGCTTATTTTTCCGAGAGTCATGGCGTCATAAAGCGTGTCAGTAAGAATGCCTCATAAAACTAACAACTAATTCTTTTTCAGATGGATTTGACCCAACTGTAATTATTGATAATATTCGTCAACTCTACAAAAATCGGGAAGGTTGGCTGGCACCGTTTCCCTGGTGTGAAGATTTTCACTTCTCCTTTGACGACATCTACACCAGACTTAAAGTCATTTACAGAGAAAAAACGAAAGGAACAGCAACAGACCGAGTTGTCACGATGTCTGAAATCTTCAACCAGCACGAAGAATGTGAAGAACCAAGAGTTGTGTTAATTGAAGGGAAGCCTGGTATGGGAAAGACCACTTACTGTAAAAAAGTTGTTTTCGACTGGGCCTCAGGAAAACACGCAACCGGAAATTGCTTCGCAAACATCGTAATAGTGCTTTTGATCAAATGTCGTGATGTTCAGTCTGGCCTTTGGGAGGCCATTGAAGATCAACTTCTGCCTCGAGAAGTTGGTGAAGACGAACGAGAGAAGTTCTTCGACTTCATTCGCCACAATCAATCTAATGTTCTTCTGGTACTCGATGGATTGGATGAAGTTTCTGAGAAGAAGCTACCTATGTTTTCACAAATTATTCAAGGCCGAGTACTGCCAAACTGTCGCGTGGTTGCTACGGCACGACACGAAGCTGGAGTGAAAGTTCGAAAATACTGCGACACGCTGCTAGAGGTTAAGGGATTTACTAGAAAAGATGTAAAAACCTTCATCAGAAATTACTTTAAAGCACAACAAAACTTGGCCGAGCAGCTTATCAAACACCTGTCGGGTGATTACAAGTTACATGAAATATTGACGAATCCTCTCAACACTGCGCTTCTTTGCCTGGTTTATGAAGATTTGAAAGGTATATTTCCTGAGAGCAGAACGAAGCTGTACATGGAAATAGTGGAGTGTGTACTAAGAAGGTACAGAACAAAGCAGCAACTACCAGAAAACGGTGAAGACCTTGTTGACCTTTACGAAAGCCAATTGAAACACCTTGGTTCGATAGCTTTGAAAGGTTTACTTGAAGACAACTTGGATTTTGACGAGAAGGAGCTTGGAAAACACAAAGCAAGCGATTTACCTGGATTTGGATTTCTGTCAGTTCAGCCTGGAGGCAGTAAACTAAGACCAACTAGACGTTATAGCTTTCTTCACAAGACTTTCCAAGAATTCTTCGCAGCATTCTATCTAAGTTGTCAGCTTATCCAGAAAGAAATCAGTACAAACAGCATAGCTGCTGGCAAAAAATATCGCTATCAACTAAAAGAAGTACTTCTGTTCACATTTGGTATGCTAGCAGCACGATGCGAGGAAACAGTGGTGAACCTTCTGAAAAGCATAGCAACACAGTTAAACTGGGAAGAAGGGGAAGACGTGGACGTTATATTAGAGTGTGTTAATGAATGCAAAAAGAAGAACAAAAATGTTGATGAAAAATTGGCTACCGCTCTTGGCGCTTCTCTTCAAACTGAAACTGTTAAAGTTTCAATTGTAAAAGTGGATGAAACTCTAGCTGTCTTTTTAAGCAACTTTCTGAAAACAAATACAACTGTGACAAACTTAACATTGAATGAATCTTCGCAAGATGGGGTTGCCGCTCTGGCAGAGTGTTTGAAATATAATGCATCGCTGGAAACGTTGAGCTTGAGGGGTAATGGAATTGGTAATGATGGTGCTGCTGCTCTGGGTGAGTGTTTGAAATATAACAAATCGCTGACAACGTTGAATTTGAAATGGACTAAAATTAGTGATGATGGTGCTGCTGCTCTGGGTGAGTGTTTGAAATATAACAAATCGCTGACAACGTTGGATTTGAGTGAGAATGAAATTGGTGATGGTGCTGCTGCTCTGGGTGAGTGTTTGAAATATAACAAATCGTTGACAACGTTGAATTTGAAATGGACTGAAATTGGTGATGATGGTGCTGCTGCTCTGGGTGAGTGTTTGAAATATAACAAATCGCTGACAACGTTGAATTTGAAATGTACTAAAATTTGTGATGATGGTGCTGCTGCTCTGGGTGAGTGTTTGAAATATAATGCATCGCTGGAAACGTTGAGCTTGTGTTATAATGGAATTGATAATGATGGTGCTGCTGCTCTGGGTGAGTGTTTGAAATATAACAAATCGCTGACAACGTTGGATTTGGGTGGTAATGTAGTTGGTGATGATGGTGCTGCTGCTCTGAGTAAGTGTTTGAAATATAATGCATCGCTGGAAACTTTGAGCTTGTATCATAATGAAATTGGTAATGATGGTGCTGCTGCTCTGGGTGAGTGTTTGAAATATAACAAATCGCTGACAACGTTGGATTTGGGTGGTAATGTAATTGGTGATAATGGTGCTGCTGCTCTGGGTGAGTGTTTGAAATATAACAAATCGCTGACAACGTTGGATTTGAATTATAATGTAATTGATGATGATGGTGCTGCTGCTCTGGGTGAGTGTTTGAAATATAGCAAATCGCTGACAACGTTGGATTTGGGTGGTAATGTAATTGGTGATGATGGTGCTGCTGCTCTGGGTGAGTGTTTGAAATATAACAAATCGCTGACAACGTTGGATTTGAATTATAGTGTAATTGATGATGATGGTGCTGCTGCACTGGGTGAGTGTTTGAAATATAACAAATCGCTGACAACGTTGGATTTGAGTATTAATGTAATTAGTGATGATGGCGCTGCTGCTCTGCGTGAGTGTTTGAAATATAACAAATCGCTGACAAAGTTGGATTTGAGTGATAATGAAATTGGTGATTATAGTCTTGCTGCTCTGTGTGAGTGTTTGAAATATAACAAATCGCAGATAAAGTTGGATTTGAGTGATAATGAAATTGGTGATGATGGTGCTGCTGCTTTGGGTTAGTGTTTGAAATATAACAAATCGCTGACAACGTTGGATTTGAATTATAATGAAATTGGTGATGATAGTGCTGCTGCTCTGGTTGTTACGTAGGAGTGTCATCCACATGTGACAATACTTGCAATAAATAGAACCCCTCTAGGACATGGCTACCTTGCCTTATGACCAAGCGTTTACGTCAGGAATGAGCAGCGATTAATGACTCTGACCTGAACAGGGTAAATGTACAGTAGCTTCCATTTATCGATACAGTATTAGTATAAGAGTTACGTAGCATCTGTTTGCCAAGATTATTTACTTTTTTAAGAGCTTTTATAAAAGCGTGTACGTTTAGTCAAGAGACCGTTACACTTTATTACAATCTTATCTACACAACTTTTACCTTGTCACGTTTAATGGATAAAGCTGTTAAAAGAAACTATGCTTCATCTGTAACGCGCGTGCGTGTAAACCACCAGATTATCCGCGCGAGGATAATTTGGAAACATTGGACTGCCTCGGATTTTGTTCTAGTTGAAAATCGGATGTAATATTTTTTGTCTTTAGTAATAAATTCTGCTCATATATATATATATTTTCTAGAGGGACTGCCATAATTGGTTTAAGGTTAGAGTAATTATTCTTTGGTGATCAGTTACTTGATTCTCATAAACTTACTTTAGTGTGATAATGTGCTGACACTTTTAAGTCCTGTGAGAAATTTGAAGTTGAAGTTTTTTTAGAAAAGTTGATACAAGCCATTTTTTAATTTTGTAAAGGTACGTTTACTTGAACCATTTATGTATTTTTTAAGACGTAACTGATATAAATAAAGGTATTTTCAGCAGAATTTCAGTTTTTCTCCTCTATTTTTTGTTGATGTGTATACTTTTTTTGCGTTCTTCCAGAAAGTCCGCGTGATTACGATGTTCCTTAGCCTGCTGCTTCCTTTCTTCAATTCCCTTTTTTCGTTTGATATTTCTTGTAAACTGACCCATGGTCGACGCAATTTGGATGTTTTAGTAGTTGGGTTTTAATCTGCTTACACAGAAAAACTGGGTGAAGGAGTGACTTGACTTGCTAACTGAAATCAGAGAATACCTATGGCCAACTCGTGCATAGAGTTCTTCATCTAGAGATGAAATATGGTTGTGAACCTGTAATTATATTTCTTGTAGCAATGCAAGGTTGCTCTTATCTCAAAAGCCGAGCATGGTAACCATGGTAACCATCAACTCTGCTGAGAAATAAACGCATTTATAGTCTTTAGAAACAGCACAAAATATTCTCCTGCGTTTATCGAATTTCTGTTCGCAAAATTTGGCAAATTTAGATGCTGCAATCCAAGTCTTTCTTCGCCTGCACAAGCCAAATTTTGCTATTTTTCATTCATATGTCACGTTCCGCCTCAGCTGCTCAAGAAATGGTTGAATTGCAGCGCAACAGTCTTTGTTTACAGCCTTAATCCTTTAACTCCCAGATCAAATTTGTAATTCTCCTACTGTCAACCATAGAATTCTAATGAATTTAGTATTGAATCAACTAATTATCCCTAAATTGATATTTCTCTTTATTCTCATCACTTATCTGGTTGATATGGTATTGATATTGTAAGGAGAAATTCTGTCTTTGTTACTCATGGGAGTAAAAGGGTTGACTCCCGCGTGCATCTGATAACAAAACTCTTTAAGTTTTCTGCCTCGGAACGAATTACCTTAGAAGGCATTTTAGGCTATCGCAATATTTTTGTCTGATGGAAAATAAACATATGAGGCAGTGAATTCCACAAGTTTCCTTTTGTCAGAAAAGTCCGCTTCCATCGATTCAGTCGCCAATGCTCAGTTTACATAAGATAATCGAATTTAATCATGGTTCATGTTTGACATCAGATCATAAACAAGCGAAGTGATTCACAGTAGTGGGTTTGTGCCTGAACTCGATAAAATTTTTTCACTTGCAAGATTATATCTAAAGCAATGATGCTTAATAGGTAACAAAGCCTTACTAACGTCACGTGCGGTTACTTCTCCAATGTGGTTTCGTGCTCGAGCGAGTTCGGAACGACTAATTACCAGTGTCTACATCTTAGTGAGTGAGTGACTCATTTGCATATCTGAGTCCTCATAAAAACTCTTTTGCACGAGTTAAAAATGAGAAAGGAAAAAGAAAAGAGAGAAAAGATATTGACCATAGCAACAGGTTACCCAGGTGTTCAAACTTTCCCCACCCCCTCCCCTCCTCGGTTGTTTATTTCTGAGAGAGAGGTAGGAGTGGGAAAAGCAAGAAAAAAGGATGAGGGAGAAGTGAATTAAAACCTGGCTCTGTACCACAGGTTCACCAGCCTTTAAACAATATAAAACGAAAAGAAAAAGAATTGATGGAAGAGATATAAAGTGCCTATGTTTTTTTTGCTGGTTAATAACTGTATTCAAAATTTGATATTATCAACCTCAGCACCTTGTGAGTTCTCCTTGACCATTTCTTTGCGCATTAAAAGTACAATTTGGAGGCCAAAAAGTGTCCCCATTTAGCGCGCGGCCAAAACGATCATGTTACGTAGCTGTGACATAGAAAAATGTGCAGAAACTTCGTCGGAGAAAGGAGAAATGAAGAGGAGACGACGAACAGATTTCGTGGACGTAGCGCCAAATGAGGTAATATTTTTCTGTCAACCAAAGTGATTTGAGAGAGAGAAAAGGGAGGATTCATAAGTTATTTATCGGCTTGAGGTAGTGACCGATGTGTTTGCTTAAAAATACTGCCCAGCCGGAAAACGAGGTATATTTATGAAAAATGACAACGAAAGTTGGGATGTACTCGGCGACTCACGAAAGCGTCACCGTGGCCCGTGGGCAGAGATAGGAAAATACCGACCGGGTAAAGAACCAATCAGATTGCAAGATTCGTTACCGTGCCCTCTAAAAAAACAATAAAAAAGAATAATAGATCTACACCGGGTATTTCCATACGCCACTTTCCAAAGGATGTAGCTGTATGGCCAAAATGGACGCGTTTCCATCGTAGTCATAGAGGAGATTTTATTCTTTAAAGTTGTTGTCAGCCTTATGCTCCGTTTCGGCTTCGAAGACGGCTATCACGAACACATGCCACTGGTCAAATAAGGGGAACTTAGATCGCCAGTGAATTCAGCTGAAAAGATTGCTGATTAAGGGGCCTATTCCACATCGGACACGATTATACCACATTCTTTTCGGCTGACATTACGCAAGCGAAAAATGGTGAGCTTCTCAATGTTGCTTATTTCACGCGCTTGAGAGATACTTATACTCTTTGTCTTTCCACATGATTACATTTGCGCTTTTCTGATCGTTTGATAATCCTACCAGTTATAGTTTCCATCGAATTTTACAAACAGAAATGCATCATTTGTATTAAAAGTCAAGCCCTCTCCTGAGCTGAGCGGTATCCTGTTGCCTGGACAGTGCGAAACCTCTGGCGGATACTGGCATAAACACAAGCTCGAAGGGGCCTTGTACTCTGCCAGCCTGGGTTTCCGAAAATCCATCCCACAAGCCATCAATTCCCCTATGACCTCAAGAAACTAAAAGTAGCAAAAATAGCAATGTCAACGCGACGAATTATGAAACACAAATACTATTGAATTTGATAGTAGCGAATCCGAGTGCTGTGTGAAAGTCAATGCATACGAAATATTCATTTACAACACTGATGTCCGCGGTTATTTGCCAGTGAGTGAAATGGGTCACGTGGAAATGCTGCACTCAAACTAAAGAGGTCTTTCTCTATTAAAAGTCTTATTGATGAATATAAACTCACTCGTTTTTCGTTTAAACGGCACGACGACGATCGCCTCCGCCTTTACAATGTCTGAGGAAAGGAGCAACTTGCAATAAAACTGATCGATGACTTTCCGATGAGAATTATCGCGCGTGCTTCGTGATTCAGCTAGTTCTTTCGATGCTGACGTCAAAAGTAAGCTTCTGGTTTACCAAGGGAATTACTCTACAACAACGAAACCCAAGAACACTGACCATGCAAGGCGAACGTTTTCCGCACCTAGTACGAAAGAATAATTTGTTAGGGCAATAAAAAAAAATACAGCTTCCCATTCTTACCATAGAACTTAAAATTTGGTAACGGGAGTTTTTTTGTTCTAATCTTGACCTAAACACCGCAAGCAAGAAATCGTCTTTGTCCCTTTTTCAGTGTTAGTCGAAATCTTTGTTTGATGCACGCGGTTCTTCTTTGAAGCGCTGAACCGTACTTGCAACTGCCATTTCTTCTTTGCTACTTGAGTACGATATATCACAACTCTTTAAGAGCTTGCTGAAGGTAGATAGACATACTTAACGGACATCATTTCTAGAGTTTTTCAAAGCTGACTGATACAAAATTACCAGAGATGTGAGAGATTTGTAATTGACAACTGAGAGTTTTCACACTTATCTACGTTATCGCCGGCTAACTCGTTGCCAGTCTACGGACAAACTAAGAGCACTTTAGGGCCCGAAAAAACCGAGTTTCATTTTTTTGAAATTTTCTTCTATCGGAATTGGTTTGAATATATGATAAGCTAAATAGATATGCAAAAAGGAAGTCCCTGTCATAGGTACATTATGAAGAGAAGAAAACACTACGCTTAAATTGTGCAAGTTTGAAAAGCTATCCATGTATAATAAAAAAAAAGATCGTGAATTAATCAAAAAGAGCAGCAATTCGGCACGCTCCCTATGTCCCCCTTCCCTCTCTTCCCCATAATGCACCCAGGAGGGGAGGTCAATTTTAGAAAGAGGGGTTCCAAATTCTCCCTACCCCTCTCCCACCGTCTTCAAAACCCTTCATGTACCCTTAAGGGAAGTGAAGTTTACAAAGGGAGGTGCATATTCTCCTTCCGACATACCCCTCCCCCTTTCCCTCCTCCAAACACACATACGCATGCGCCAAACCCCTGATACACCCTTGAGTGGAAGTCAAGTTTACATAAAGGGGTATATATGCTATCATCCCGCGCATGATTCGAGGGGGTTGAATTTGGAGCAGGGGCAAGTTTCTAAAGAAACTGTAGTGCTAGCGCTGCGTCGGTGGGGAATATAACAAGATATTTTGGTTTTATTAACTGAATTGAAAACGCAAATTGGCCACCGTAAAGAGTTTCTAAAGATGACGTTTCAAGCGTTAGCACTCGAGGGCTAACATTGCAATTGCCAGCTTTAGAAACTCTTTATGGTGGCCAAGTTATATTCTATAAATTTAGTTGATAAAACCAAATTAAGT